GTTTTTGTTTTGTTTTTTCATTTTAGGCTTTCTGGTGAGTATGTGGTTTTAATTATTCGCATTTACTCTTTAAAATGAGGGAGTTAATCCCCTACATCTGCCAGAAACTCCCCCTTTATGGTTACTTATCTAGTGGAACTTAGAACCTCCTTCCTGTGCTGGAGGGGATAGAATAGAGGCTGAGGGCAACAAGCTTCGCACTCAGACACCCTGAGGTTTGATTCCCAGCTCCAATGCTTGCTTGTTTTTGTTACCGAGAAATTTATTTAACCTTCTTAATTTTATGCAAAATGGCACTAAAAATAGCCCTGCTTTACTAGGCTGTTATGAAGATTATACGAGATAAAATCTTTACTAGGCTGTTATGAAGATTATACGAGATAAAATATGCAAAGTTCCTAGTACACTGTGATCACATATTCAGCCAATGGCAGCTATTAGTATACTTTATATTGTTTATGCACATCTCATTTCTCCTTCTGATTTACATTTTCTGACAAAGCAATAGCACGCAGCACACGCTAGCTGCCTCACATACTAGCACTTTATTGCTGATAAAGGCTGGTTGAGAGAACGATTTTAAATATAAACGTATTGTGGTTGTTATAAAAAAAAGACATACATTATTATAATGGCTATGGTACAAAATACATTGCTAACGAGTAATACATTATTGAAACAAGTGTCTCTCCTATTTACCTTCATTATTTAACAGTTAAGCAGATTAATGCAGCAGGAAAACACTCCTGGAGCTAATTAGCCATAATTAGATGTTCCCTATTGCCTTTGTGAGGGTTCCAGAAAAAACAACTTCATCCTAGAAACAAAAAGAAAACACCATTTTTCTCTAGAGACGTTAAGCTTTTCAAATCTTGACCGACCCTTTGTTCAGCAGTGAAGAAACTGCTAAGGCAGCAGCTGCCCCTGCAGCTTCCGTACAAGATGGCGCCGCCCACTGGTACAGCCCCGGCTGGGATCACGTCCCCGGGCCGCAGGACCGGAAGTGGTTTCGGCCCTAGTGGATCCGGGTGGGAGCCGCCGGTGGCTGCGGAGGTTCCAGCTCCTCCTCGGCGTGAGGTGCCGCAGGTGTTCGGGTGGGATCCGGGCCACAGGTAAGGGAGGGTCAGAGGCCCGCGAGGCCTTTCCCCGACTTGTGCGAGGGGCGGCGGGGGTTCCCAGTGCGGACTGAGAGGAGGGGTCGTGGAGCTGATGATGTCACCGGGTGCGGGGGCGGCTACATTGCGGGGACCCCGCTGTCCCGGAGCGACTTGGCCCAGCCCCTGTCCCCGCCCTGCGGCGTGGCTTCCTTGGCTTCCTCGCACCCAGTGCACGGGCCCCCCACGGCCTCCCAGAGAAACCCCCTCGCTCGCACCCCTTCTCCCTCCAGAAGCGCCCACCACATCTTGGTGGCTCCCGGACCCAGAGGAAAGGAAGCGCCGGCGGCAGCACCTGGTGACTCCCGGGCGCTGCGTGCTCCGCGCGGCCGCTTCACTCCCTCGCGTGGTTCGCGGGGCCTCTCCCCGCCCCCGCGGTCCCCGCCTCCGCCCAGGCCACGCCCGCCGCCTCGGCCTCGCGGGGGAACACCTGTTTGTTTTCTCGCATCCCTGGGATAGATGGAAACCAGGACGCTCGTGAGGATCTGTCACAAAATCCATACCTGATCTTTGTAATACTCCAAACAATAACAAATAAAAAAAACAAATAGAATAGAAGCAAACCCAAACCTTTATAAGCTTTTGACGTATAATTGGACACAGACGAACTCTCTTATTAAACACCATATTAATTGTATCGTCCGTTTTAGTTGTAAGGACGGAAGGAGCTGCAAAATGAAAGGTTTTGCTGATGATCAGAATTGCAGGAGAGAGGAAGTTTAATATGGAGGAATGATTAAATTTGGTCAAGTTGACCTTGTTTTAATAATGTGCTTTTGTAAGAAATTGTTTCAGAGAAAGAGAGAGAGAGGAACACAGATTTGTTGGTCCACTTATTCATGCATTCATTGTTGCCTCTTGTGTGTTCCCTGACCAGGGATGGAAAGGGCAACCTGGGCGTATTAGAGCGATGCTGTAACCCGTGGGGCTGCCCAGCCAGGGCAATAATGCACTTATTCTTCTTTATTTATCTTAGTTGTAGTCCGTGAGTACAATCTTGTAAAACATAGGTGGAATTTTAAAAACAGAATAGATGCTCTTTGACCTGGGTCTTTGCATTTCTATTTTTTTTTTTCTTTTTCTTTAGTTGCTTGCCCAAAAGTAAGAACTGTTTGGGTTGTGCTTTTCTATTTCTTTTTCTTTATATGTATTGACAGGTGTTTGCACATATAAAATATATTTGGGTTAAACTTTCACAAATGTATATTTTACAAATATGATGTACCTACTCAGCAACTTGACTTTTTGTGCTTAAAGATTGGTCTTAGAACTTTTTCTTTGTTATTATGTTGAGATCTACCTTGTTCTTTCGGCTTGCTCTGTAAATTCCATAGTATGTTAAGATTCCATAGCATGTGAGATTCCATAGATTGCTTACAGTTTTTCACTGTTAAGACACAGTGTTTCATAGAAAATCCTCCAAGTGTGTGTGTGCCCTTATGAGCGTGTCTCAAGTAGTTACTAGTGAGATTATGTTGTTGTTTTTAAATTGATGTTTAGAGAGAGAGGAAAGGAGCGAGGGAGGGAGAGAAAGAGAAAGAGAGAGATGTCAGATGAAACATGGGTTGGCTGCCTCCTGCACACCCCTTACCAGGGATTGAGCCACACCCTGGGTATGTCCCTGACTGGGAATTGAACTGCCAAAGTTTTTGGAAGGACACCTAACCAAGCCACACTGGCCAGAGCGTGAAATTACATTTTCATGATTGTCGGTTAGGTGTATTTTCTCTTTGAGAAATGTCTCATTTCTATTGGGTTGTCTTTTTATATGCATATAGTAGTGTTTTTATATATTCTGGATAGTAATCTTTTTGTCATTTATATATGTTTTAAATATTCATCTCCAACGTAGTGCTTTTTTTAAAAAAAATATATTTTATTGATTTTTTACAGAGAGGAAGGGAGAGAGATAGAGAGCTAGAAATGTTGATGAGAGAGAAACATCGACCAGCTGCCTCCTGCACACCCCCTACCGGGGATGTGCCCGCAACCAATGTACATGCCCTGGACCGGAATCGAACCTGGGACCTTTCAGTCCGCAGACCGACGCTCTACCACTGAGCCAAACCGGCTTCAGCTAATGTAGTGCTTTTTAAAGTTGTTGTTTGTCTTGCCCAGCCAGTGTGGCTCAATCGGTGAGTGTCATCCCATGCACCAAGAGGTTACCTGTTCGATTCCTGGACAGGGCACATGCCCGGGTTCTGGGCTCAATCCCCAGTAGCGGGCGTGCAGGAGCAGCCAATCCATCTGCAGGCTGACACTCCAGCCACGGAGCCAAACCAGCTAGGGCTAAATAAAAACATATTTTAAAAAGAAACATATTTTAAAAAAGAAAAGTTGTTGCTTGTCTTTAGCCATAATGGCATCTTTGTTGAACCAAAGCTTTAAATGTTATGTTTAAATATATCAATCTGTTACATGTGTATTTCCTATCCTGATGGTTTCATAAACCCAGAATTTATAAGCCTTTTGAGGTTAATACAGGAGGTTTGGGGACAATAAAATGAATTGGTGGGCTTTGAATTGTTTCTGGAGCCACAACTCTGGCCTGTAAAGACTTCATTTGTAAAGTAAGGACAGCTGTGGTTTTTTGTTGTTAATCCTCACCGGAGGATGTTTTTTCCATTGGTTTTCAGAGAGAGTGGAAACAAGAGTGGAAGGCAGAGAGAAACATCGATGTGAGAGAAACACATTGATTGGTTGCCTCCTGCAGGAACACCCACCCCCTCCACCCCCTACCAGGGTCTGGGCGGGGGAGGAGCTTGCACCAAGGTGCCCTTGACCAGAATCAAAGTACATGGGACCCTTTGGTCCACAGGTCCACGCTCTATCCACTGAGCCAAACCGGTTAGGGCAAGGACTGCTGTTTTTAACACCTCAAGAATTGGGTTGCCACCTAGATGAAGGCAGAGCACTGACAAATCCATCATCCATTGTTGGAATGTACGTTATCCCGTCTTAACCCTTTGGACATTTCAGTTTGCATCCTCCTGAGCATCTTGGAATTCTCTCATGGTTCTATCCTATTCCTTTTGGAGGCCACCCATTCCTTTGTACTGCCCTAGCTTACCCTCAATATCCAAGTCTGTTTCTATGGAGAACTACTGAGATTTCGGGTGCAAGAAGACCCATGTTTTCTGAAGCCCATTTGCTTCGTTCCCCCACTATTTACATCTTGCAGAAAAGTAAAAAAATAAAAAAATAAAAAAAAATCTCTCCACTAGCTTGCCAATGATTAGATTTTTATTGAAGCAGAAATTTCCACTCAATTTTTGTTAGAGATTGAAGGTTGAAAGTGCAAACACCTTGAAGAAGGTCTATATCACTAAGTGAAAGCCAGAGTCTAGCTCAATTTTGTTTTATTTTTTATTTATTATTTTAAAAAATAGATTTTTATTGATTTCAGAGAGGAAGAGAGAGAGAGAGAGAGAGAGAGAGAGAGAGAGAGAGAGAGAGAGAGAGAGAGAGAGAGAAACATCAATGATGAGAAAGAATCATGACCCACACTTGGGATTGAGCCTGACCAGGAATCAATCACTGAGCCATGCTGGCTGGACTAGCTTATTCTGTTTTAATTGATATGATTTTATATGGTTCAGAGAGCCCTAAGCAACTGATAGAGGGAAGGAGGGTTTTCTTAGGAGAGAATAGAGATAGAGATGGAGTAGAGAATGTAAAAAAGTGAAAAAAATTAAAACACAACTGCTTCATGCCAAAATTTGTAACAATTTTTTAGTTTGTGGGCACAGGATTGTAAATGGAACAACCCCCCACTTTTAGTGGAAACTCCTTTCCATATAGGCTCAAATTCTGTGTGTAAACTTCTTGTTGCCACTTGTTTTGCAGATTGTGGGATTAGTGACATGCTTTCCTAAACAGCAGAGAAGCTGAAGATGTCTAGACACTTGGTGGCTTTGACAGTGACCACTCTCCTTGGTGCGGCAGTGGGGGCGTTTGTCCTGTGGAAAGGCATCCAGCGCCGGAGGAGTAGGAGCAGCCGCGGAACCTGGCAGCCCCAGCAGCAGCAGCAGCAGCAAGCTCCAAGCAGGAGCGAGCTGCCCCCGCCAGAAGAGGACCAGCCGCCTTCCAGTGCCCCCAGAGCCTCATGGGAAGAGAGGATCCTGGAAGCAAAGGTGGTCACTGTGTCCCAGGAGGCAGAGTGGGATCAAATTGAACCCTTGCTTCGGAGTGGGTTAGAAGATATTCCAGTACTTGGAATCGACTGCGAGTGGGTAAGTTAAAAAGCAAAAATAGGACACATCATGTCTGCTGTTCCCACTAGAGGTCTTGAGTCATCAGGTGAAGGATAAGATTAAATATTATATTGTTCTCACCTTGCTGGTAAGTAGATTTTAGCAGAAGTTGCTTCTCTTCTCAGGATAAGGGAATGCTCATAATCATAGATTCTGAAGCCAGGCAGATCCATATGAGTTCCATGTTCACCACTTATCATTCTGTGAACTTGGACATGGTACTTAAGTAATAGGGATGTAATGGTATCTGCCTCCCAGGGAATTTCTAAAGGTTCAAATAGCCTCTATAAAGTCTATAGCACAATTTTAACATATGGTAAGTGATCATTGAATACTAGCTAATATGAATATTTTAATAGTATTTTCATAAGGATGTCATGGAGAAGTTTATTAAGGAAGTCTATTAAATGGGGATTATTATACAAGTCAAAATTTTAAAAGATAACATTTAAAATTTGAAATATTGTTTATTCTAAGCCAGGTACTATGCTGTTTTGTTTGATCATATCATTTAGTTTAATTAGACTCTCTGTAGGGAGAATAATTCTATGTAGGGAGATGCTATTACTAAGCTCACTTTTATAGATAGGAAATTGGGGCATAAAAAAGATTAGTTACTTACCAAAAGCCACAGAAGTGGTAACTAGCATTAGAGGCCAGGGCTTTCTCTACCATCTGGTTACTTCCAATGGCTATTAACTTTGGGGAAGTTGTTGCCTGATTATGATGATAATAATATGGCACACCTACTCTTCTGTCATTCTGATTCACAGAGTGAACTTTAATCTTGAAACAGAAGATATTACAAAAATACAAATAACTCAGAAGCATCATCTTACTAATTCAGTGTTATACCTTACCAAGAATCTCTGATTTTTTCCCCCTGGATATCTAGAAAACAGCCAGAAACCAGAAAATGTAATCAAAAGAAACTTTAAGCAGAATAGTTGCCACAAAATCAGACCAAAGTTGGTAGGAGTGACTACTAGATGTCAATACAATGATGACCAAGAAAGAATTGGAGGCCCTGGTTGGATGGCTTGGTTGATAAGAGCATTATTCCGATACACCAAGGTTGTGAGTTCGATTCCCTGGTCAGGGCACATACAAGAATCAACCAATGAATGCATAAATAAGTGGAACAACAAATTGATGTTTCTCTCTCCTTTCCTCTCTCTCTAAAAAGTTAATAAATAAGAAAAAGGCAGAATTAGGCACTTTTAGTTTATTTTATATAAGAAATATCCTTTTAGAAATATTTACACCAACAATAGAAGAAAACATTAGTAAACAGTGAGCTTTAGTAGATTAGGAAAATTCACATTTGCCAAATACCTTGATTATTCTAACTAAATGAAGAATAAGCACAGCAACGACCGAGTTTTCTGAAGTGAATAGTTACTAACAGCAATTGACTTAATAATAATAGGGTGTAATTATAGCAGAGACATGGAAAAGTTAAAGGGGCAAATAATCCAAAACCCACTTCATTTGGGCTTTTGATATGTATTAATTTCATGCTTGATGCCGCCTCTCCCTTGAGGAGTGATTGCATTTCTCCAATTGCTGCCACAGAAAAACTTTATGAAAAAGACATCCGTTCTTGTTCACCTTTCTTCCATTTCTGTTTCCCTTTCTCTTTCATTTACTTTCATGTTTGTTTAGTTACTGTTTTTGCTCTTACTTTACAGTTAGTAGTTGTTTAGATTTACCAAATAATTCACCTTTTTTAGTTTGTCTTTTTAAAAAATGTATTGATTTGAGAGAGAGAGAGAGAAACATCGATTTATTGTTCCGCTTTTTTAGGCATTCATTGGTTGATTCTTGTATGTGCCCTTACCGGGAATCCAATCCACAACGTTGGTGTATCACGACAATGCTCTAACTTACTCAGGGCCTCGTTTGTCTTTATACCTCAGACCTTTTTTAATTTTTATTTAGAGTAATTTTCTTTAAGGTCATACTATAGAAGTTCATTTTTTGAGGTCTCATTTGATAATTAAGATTGTTTTGAAAATGTCTTTATTTTGCTCTTGATCTTGAAGATATTTTCACTGGATCTAAAATTTTAGTTTGGCAGTCTATCATTTTTACCATATATAATTTTTCATTGTGTTCTGGCTTCTATTGTTGCTGTTGAAAATCACTGCTAATCTACATGTTGATTTTTTATAGGTAATTTTTTATAGCTCCTTTTAAGGTCTTCTCTTTGAGTTTGTGGTTCTAAAAATTCATTATGATGAGACTAGGTGTTTTCTCTCTGAATTTCCAGCTTTGGATTCAGAGAGATGAGGATTGGTATATTTTATCAATTTTTAAATTCTCTTTGAAGATTGTCTTTACTCTGTTTTCTTCTCCTTTTTCCTCTCCCCCTCCTTCCCCTCCCCTACTTTCCCTTCTTCCTCTCCCTCCCCCTTCCACTTTCTTGTTGGAATTTGATCAGCTACATTCGCAACATTTAAAAAACAATGTTTTATTGATTTCTAGAGAGAGAGGAAGGGAGAGGGATAGAAAGATAGAAACATTAATGAGATTAGAGAGAAACACCATTGATGGGCTGCCTTCTGCATGCCTCTTACTGGAGATTGAGCCCACAACCTAGACATGTGCCCTGGCTGGGAATCGAACCAGAGACGTCTTAGTTCAAGGGCTGATGCTCAACCATTGAACCATACCAGCCAGGCTACATTCTCAACTTTTTATGCTAACCTACATATCTGGTAATCACTTTTAAATTCAATCTATCTTAATCTCTGAATTTATTCTACATAATTCCTTTGGGTCTTTTTCATATTTTCCCTTTACCTTTGTCTAATCTGCTGTTTAACTTGCTCCGAGTCTTTTTTCTTTAAACCTTTTTTATTGTCAGCCCTCTGTTTAAAACCTTTCTATAGCTTCAAATAAAACGAAGATGTCTTAATGTCTTACATGTCCTTAAGGATTTATATGCTCTGGCCTCTCTCAACATCTGAAATTTTCTCCTAGTCGCTTCCCATCCTCCTCATTACTTTCCAGTCTCATTGGGCCTTCATTCGATCACTTGAACAGAACAATCTCATTCCTGTCTCAAAGTCATAGTTTAAATTTAACTGGTATATGAATGCCACAGGCTAGGAGTGCTCATTAGGTAACCCGTTCAAGCCCAGAACATGGTATCAGGTTCTTCATTACTCTCTGCTGCCATCGTGGGGCCACTTCAAGAATCACGAGCTTTTCTATAAATTCATCAGCTCTGGACTTTTAAGAATTTTGCAGAAAGGTTAGAATAATTCCACAGGTGTTCATTATATTATTTATGCTTTCTAAATTACAAGTCATATCATTTTGATGTATCACAGTATATAAAAACACAATAGAGACAATAAAATATAAAAATTAAAACAATATTCCATAGCATATAATCACAAATATGTTAAAACTACAAGTATTTTTAGATGCAAAGAAAAAAGTCTGGAAAAAATATCAGAATATTAACAGTGGTTATTTCAGGGTTGTGGAGTTTGGATAGGTTGTTTTATTTTTGTATGTTTTTGGCAATAAGTATGCAGTGATTTATTTTTTAAAAGAAAATAAAAGGGATCTTAAAGCTAAAATGGATTATCCACTGGCCCCCAGGAAAGAGGATTCTAAACCAGTATTCTCTAAGTGAGTTACTGAGATATGGAAAAAAGTGTTAGAAACTTCTTCCGTAATGATTGATGTCATCATTCATTTAATAATATACTAATGTAACACATTAGTATATTATTACATGTATATAATTATAAATACCTATGCATATATGTTGTTTATGTCCCAAACTTTTTTTTTTAAGCCTTACCTGAGGATATTTTTTGTATTGATTTTCAGAGAGAGTAGAAGGGACAGGGGGAGAGAAAGGAGAGAGAGAAAAACAGAGAAGGAAGGAAGGAAGGAAGGAAGGAAAAGCCATTGATTGGTTGCCTCCTGTACACACCCTGACCAACTAGGGCTGGGAATTGAAACTGAAACTCAGGTATCTTTGATGGGAATTGAATCCTTCAGTGCTTGGGCTGTCATTCTAACTACCAGCCAGGGCTCAAATATTTAAAAAGAAAATATATATTTTTATTGATTTCAGAGAGGTAGGGAGAGGGAAAGAGATAGAATCAATGATTAGAGAGAATCATTGATTGACTGCCTCCTACACACCTCCTACTGGGGATCAAGCACAGAACCCGGGCATGTGCCCTTGACCAGATTTGAACCTGGGACTCTTCAACCTGCAGGCCAACACTCTGTCCACTGAGCCAAACCAGCTGGTTGCCTCCTACACTGCCCCTACTGCAGACTGAGCCTGCAATCTGAGCAGGTGCCTTGACCAGGAATTGAACCGTGAGGTCGATGCTTAACCCACTGAGCCAAACTGGCCAGGCTCAAAGAGACCACCGAATTAAATGCTAATAAAATTAAAATATGTCATGTCTTTTCCCATTAAGGGTTTCATTGGTTTTCATGAGTAATAAGTGATATTGAGACAAGAAGATGTCAGAAAGAAAAAGGGGTAAACATATGAGGAATAAAAGCTAGATCTTTTGTTACTTAAGCCATATAGAGTCTGCAAGAGGCCTTATTTTTCCAATTATACTTTTAGTATAAATTGCATACCTATTAGAATCATAAACATTTGAATTCCCAGTAGGAAAACCTTAATTGTAATATATTGGATCTTAAGCACAATCCAGAAACAGTATTAAAAAGACAAGAACTTGTCTATCTGTCCACCTACATACTTATTTACTTAACCAGTGGCCCGATGCACAAATGATTTGTGCAAGAATGGGCCTTCCTTCCCCCTGGCACTGCCTTCACTCTGGCCGGATCAGCCTTTCTGCTCCAGCCCCGAACCCCTTTCTGCCTTCCCACGCTTCCCAGAGGCCCTGAGCAACGATGCAAGCATCCTACCTCATCCCTGGTTGGTTGGTGCCTGCTTATGCAAACTAACTCGCCATCTTTGTTGGGTTAATTTGCATACTCCTGATTGGCTGGTGGATGTTGCAAAGGTATGGTCAGTAAGCATGTTACTTTTTTATTAGGTAGATGTACTTTAGAAAGGGGAACCTGACGAAAAAGAGGTGCAGAGATGCAGCTTTAGGAATTTGCAGTGAGTATTGTGTCAAATTAGCAGGCTAAATATTAGAAGAAGAGATTTATAGCTTTTTCATAGAAAGATCTGGCATTACAGAGGAAAGGAATTAATTAAAAAAAAAAAAAGGCAATTTGGCCACATCCAGATGAATATTATGGAACAAAACGCAATAGTCAATTTCTTGTAGTTTTGTGTGTTTTTTTTTACCTTGTCTGAGCCCCAAGAAGTAGGCACATTAAAGATCAATCTGGCATGCTTTCATTTGAGGATATGGAAATATCCCTCATCGATAAATCAGTGCCTAAGTAGGGAAATCCTAAGGCTTTTATGAGTTAAACCATGGTTTTACTTAGCATTGAAGTTCAAGTTGAGGGCTTAAGGCTGTACTGAATTTTGTTTTTAACAATTCTTTGTGATCCTGATTGCTTCTTTGTGATACTGGTCATCTCAACAATGACATATCCTTCCCTTGATTACTTGTAACACTTTGGTTATTTACCATGCGGTTTCTAAAGGTGTGAGCTGTATAGTACTCTACCCGAAAGGTTGTACTCCTTAAGGCAGGTTCCATCTCTTATTAACTTTATATCCACAGCGGCACCTGGTGCAATGCCTTGCATACTGTTACTGTAGTAGTAAGAGAGTAGCATTGCTTAGAGCAGAGTTCTCCTCTGGTAACATTTTGGGGGGACATGATTCTTTGTTATGAGGGTCTATCCTGAACATTGTAGGGTGTTTAGCAGCATTCTGGCCTCTAACTAGTGGATACCAGTGCACTCTCTCCCAAGTTGTGACAAGCAACAATTTCTCCAGATATTGCCAGAAGTGCTGGGTCGGGTGTGCAGGTGCAAAATCAATGCTGGTTGAGAACCACTGTTCTAGAGATAGGGAAGTTTAGGTTCTAGTCCTGACTTTGCCATTCTCTTTCCATGAGTAAGCAAACTGCTTTACCCTAGGCCTTACATTTCTTCTCGGAAAATGAGGATTGGAATTTATTGGATACTAAGGAACCTTTAATTAATGTGAACTTTGTATGTAAATATTTCTGAGAATAGCTTCCTTAGCTTTAAGCATTTTCTTCAACTTATCTATTACCTTAAAAAGATTAAAACTATACACCTGAGCCCTGGCTAGTATGGCTTAGTTGTTTGGGCATTGTTCTGTACACCGAAAGATTGCTGGTTCAACTCCTGGTCAAGGCACAGGTTGCGGGTTTGATCCTTGGTAAGGGGCTTGTAGGAGGCAGCCAATTGATGTTTTACTCTCACATCAATATTTCTCTCTCTGTCTCTCTCTCTCTTTTCCATCCTCTCCCTTCCTCCTTATTTCCCTCCCTCCCTCTTCCTTCCTCTCTAAAAACAAAGAAAAAATCTTAAAACAACTACACACCTGCAAGCAATACAGAATAATATTGGATGTAAACTGTAATTGAAAAATAAAATTTAAAAACAAAGCAAAACAAAAAAAGATTAAAACTATAATAGATCAGTTAATATATAGTTATTTTCATCTCTTAAGGTATAAGGATCCTAGCTTATGCCAGTATATATTTTTTCTTTTTATGACCAATATTTGTAACCATAAATGTTGAGAAAGCATTCTGTGCTACCAGGATTTATTATGACAGGTACCACTTACTTGTACTAGCATTGTATTTCCTTCCTCTTTTTAAACATTGCATCTTGAAGCAGTGATGATAAGGTAAATGAGTCAAAGTCACTAGCATGTACGTAAGAGAGTCTGGATAATAAAAAGAGTTATGCTTATGCTTATCAACTGGCCTCTCTGCTCCTTAGGGGGCCCCCCCATTAGCCTTTTAAAACCTGTATATTTCCCATGACTCTGCCAGTGTGTCCCAGGCTGCCTCTGTGTCAGCTGGTCACTATTTATGGACTGCTCGTATTTCAGGCTCTGGAGTTTGGGCCTTCAGTAATCTTTGTTTAAGTTACTGCTTTACAGAGTTCATTGCATTTATTAGCACAAGCTGATTCTTAGATTGGAACCAAAATCTGGTCAACTGCTCCCTTTGAGAAGTTAAGGATGTACCTCTTAGATGTTTGCCATAATTTCATGATGTACTTGGAACTGCGCTAGGGTATGAACTGTGGCTCTGATTTTTCTTCTCTTGCACAGGTGAACTTGGAAGGGAAAGCCAATCCTCTGTCGCTTCTTCAAATGGCCTCCCCAAGTGGCTTCTGTGTCTTGGTTCGCTTGCCCAAGCTGATCAGTGGAGGAAAAACAATACCAAAAACATTATTGAACATTTTGGCAGATGGCACTATTTTAAAAGTTGGAGTAGGATGTTCAGAAGATGCCAGCAAGCTTCTGCAGGATTATGGCCTCATTGTTAAGGGGTGCCTGGACCTCCGATACCTAGCCATGAGGCAGAGGTATGGTTTGTGTGAATGCTGCTTGGATTATTGTAGCTGTGGGGCAAATATTTTAGCAAATTTATAGATTAATAAGAATCAGTAATGAAGCATCTAAAATTTGTCACAAGCCTAGAGGCTTCTGAGATGCATATTAAATTTGTAAGGAAATATTCCAACTTCTGAGAAAACTTTACTTACCTGGAATTGATCTTTTTATTTAATTTTATTTTTTATTTTTCTTAGAATTGGTCTTTTTAAATGAAACATTAATAAGATGTCTCTTTAAGTTGTAAACTAATGGCCCCACTGGATAAACGAGGGCTGCAGATTACTTTTTTGTTTTTCCTCATATAGTATTTTTAGGAAATTTTAGTTTAAATGCAGAAGATGTATATTTCCGATTTCTCTTGAAAAAGTGAGGTGATTTGAATATACTAGGTCAATAATTCTAGGTGGCAACAATTGGCTGGGTACCCTGCTCACTTTTGATGAACAAGCTCTATTCCATTTGCCGGAGTCCCCACCTCTCCCATTGTAACTGGTAGTCATCCTGAAGCATGAGTTTGGAAAACCTGCTTTAGGCCAAAATGATGGTAGTTCCAATCCTTTACTTGGAAGAAGAGAGATTTCTCTTTCTCTGAAAAGTCTATTTTTATGGAAATGGAGTTGCCAATCACTCTTTCATGTATGTATACACAGGTTCTCCTTTTAATAATATGGACTGAAACAGCCTCTATCCCTGCCTCAGTGACACTGACATTAAAGTTTGGAGGCCATAGCTGATGTGGCTCAGTGGATAGAGCATCGGCCTTCTAACTGAAGGGTCCTGGGTTCGATTCCAGTCAAGGATTCAGTTCTGGGTGTGGGCTTGATTCCCAGTGGAGTGCATGCAGGAGGCAGCTGATCAGTGATTCTCTCATCATTGATATTTCTATCATTCTCTCCCTCTTCCTTACTCTCTAAAATCATGGAGGATTTAATCAACTAAGAGAAGGCCTGATTAAAATCTATTCTGATCATAATATTTTATTATAAAATTAGAGGCCCAATGCACGAAATCTGTGCAAGGGCTCAGCCCTCACAGCCCCGGCTGCCTCGGCCAGCCTTCGCAGCCTGGGCCAGCCCTCACAGCCCCTCGTAGCCCCGGCTGGGCCTCACAGCCCCAGCTTTGTCTGGAAAGTCATCCAGACGGTTGTCCAGAATGTCTTCCAGATGGTGGGTCGATTGTACGGTCTAATTAGCATATTAGGCCTTTATTTGCGCTACAATATGACTGCTTTAGGTTCATTACATGTTACCATGAGATCAACTGCCAATAATAATTTTTGTTAATACTTTAGGAACAGCTTTTTTTTTTTTTTTTTTTTTAATATATTTTATTGATTTTGTACAGAGAGAAAGGGAGAGAGATAGCAAGTTAGAAACATTGATGAGAGAGAGTCATCGATCAGCTGCCTCTTGCACACCCCCCACTGGGGATGTGCCCGCAACCAAGGTACATGCCCTTGACCGGAATCGAACCCGGGACCCTTCAGTCTCCAAGCCGACGCTCTATCCACTGAGCCAAACCGGTCTCGGCAGGAACAGCTTTTGATACATTACAATCAGTTTTTTCTAGGATATTCGCTTATGAGTGAGATCATGCAATACTTTCTCTGACTGGCTTATTTCGCTTAGCATAATACTCTCCAGGTCCATCTATGCTGTTGCAAATGATAAAGAGTTCTTTCTTTTTTATAGCTGCATAGTATTCCATTGTGTAAATGTACCACAGCTTTTTTTATTCCCTCATCTAGTCACTGTTTCCTTGTTAATTTTTTGTCTGGAAGAGCTATCCAGTGAAGTCAGCAGGTTGTTAAAGTCCTATACTATGATTATATTGCCGTCAATCTCTCCCTTAAAGTCCTCTAGAAGCTTTTTAAAAAATATATTTAGGTGCTCCTATATTGGGTACATATATGCTTACCAGGGTTATATCCTCTTGTTGGGTTGATCCCTTTATTACAGTGTGGTGACCTTTATTGTCTCTTGTGATGGTCTTCTTTGAAGTCTATTTTGTCTTATATTAGTTTTGCTACCCCAGGTTTTATTTTCTTTTTTCATTTCCATTTGCAGGGAAAATTTTTTCCCATCCCTTCATTCTCATCCTGTGTGAGTCTTTTGTTCTGAGGTAGGTCTCTTATAAACAGCATATACTTGGGTCATGTATTCATATGCATTCAGGTACCCTATGTTTTTTTATTGCAGCATTTAATCCACTTAGATTTAATGATATTATTGATAGGTACTTATTTATTGCCATTTTTATTCTTATGCCTATGTTTCTCTCTCCATTTCTTCTCAATATAGCAGTCCCTTTAGCATTTCTTGCATTGTTGGTTTGGTGGTGATAAACCCCTTTTGCCTTTTTTTGTGTGTGTCTGGGAAGCTCTTTATTTCACCATCTATTTTGAATGATAGCCTTGCTGAATATAGTAATCATGCTTTTCATTACCTTGAATACTTCATACCATTCCCTTCTGGCCTGTAGAATGTCTGATGAGAAATCAGCTGATAGCCTTATGGGAACTCCTTTGTAGGTAACAGCTTGCTTTTCTCTCTTTGTCTTTAATTTTAGCATTTTAATTATGATGTGTCTAGGCATGGGCCTATTGGGTTCCTTTTGCTCTGGACTCTCTGTGCCTCTTGAATTTATGTGACCTTTTCCTTTACCAGGTTAGAGAGTTTTCTGCCATTATTTCTTCAAATACATTCTCTATCCCTTAGTTACTTCCCCTCTGGTACTCCTATGATGAAAATATTGTTACATTTCATATTGTCCCATAGCTCCCTTAAGTTGTCTTCCTGTTTTTTAATTTTGGTTCTCTGATTGATTGATTTTTTTTTTCTAACCCTGTCTTATAATTCACTGCTCTGATCCTTGGCTTCCCATAATCTTCTGTGTATTCCTTCCAGCCTGTTCTTTATTAGTACTACATCATTCTTATTTCTGACTGCTCTTTTTTCATAGTTACTATATCTTTTCTCATACTTTTGAGCATCATTGCCATCATTATTCTAAACTCTTATCTGATAAATTTCTTATCTCCATTTCATTCAGCTCTTCAGGAGAATTCTCTTGTTCTTTCATTTGGGGCTTATTTTTTTTTTAATCTTCCTATTTTGCCTGCATATTTGTGTTTGTGTTTATGTATTAGGTAGATCTGCTATGACTTCCAATCTCTAATGCAGGACAATGTGTAAATGTCAGATGCTGTTTGTGACTGTCCATGAGCACCCTGTTTGGAGCTATTAGCAATTAACACCTTGTGACTCCCTCTGCTGGAGCTGGTGCCTTTGAAAAGAAACTAGATGTGTACAATGTTCTGCTTTTCCTAGCCCTAAGCCAAGAATTAGATCAGGCAAAGACTCAAAGCCTCCAGAGACCAGCTTCTGCCTACAATGTGATTGTTATTTAGTCTTGATTAATCTCAGGCTATCAGGGACAGGTGGGGTGACAGGTTTTCCAACATGGTGGGGCAGTTGCTTCTGCCTGCAAGCAGATTATTATTCTCAGTCTCTTAATGGGCTAAGAAACTCCACAGGGTGGAGCAATTAAAAACACCCCTCCCTCCAGGCAAAAGCTGCCTGGATGGTAAAGGTCTGCCAGAGAAAGATGTCCTCTGCAGTATGAGGGAATGATTCAGCACAAGAATTGGGGGTGTCTTCCTTTTGAGCTCTCACCCTAGCACTCCCAACCTTATCTTCTGCTCACACAGCTCCAGTCCACTCTGCCCTCTCTCTGCTGGAGCCCAAGGTGAGTGGCTGCACACAAAATTTTGTGTTGGCCCTTTAAGTGTGTGCTTGCATTTCCAGCCATCTCTCCCTGGCAGACAGAAACACTACTCCTTTTCACAGCCAGATTTTATGGGGGCTTCTTTCTCAGTTCTGGTGCTGTGGGCTAGGGGACCCACTTTGGGGTTTAGACCTCATAGTTCTCAGTGGAAACGCTCCACAGCTGAGATATCACTCCAGAATTTCAGCTTCAGTCTGTGGGAGCCTGGCCTGCCCTTTTGTGCCTCCACATTTCCTACCAGTTTCTATGCGGTCTCCACTTTCCATCCCTGGTTATCAAGGTTCACTTCTGCTAGTCTTCAGTGGATTTAGGAAGTTTTTTTGTTTTTTGTTTTTTTTAAAATATATTTTATTGATTTTTCACAGAGATGAAGAGAGAGGGATAGAAAGTTAGAACATCGATGAGAGAGAATTATTGATCAGCTGCCTCTTGCACACCCCCTACTGGGGATGTGCCCGCAACCAAGGTACATGCCCTTGACCGGAATCAAATCTGGGACCTTTCAGTCTGCAGGCCGATGCTCTATCCACTGAGCCAAACCGGTCCCGGCTGGGAAGGTTTTTCTATATTTTAGTTATAATTCTAGTTTGGTCTTGGGAGCATGTCAGTGTAGCTTCCACTTACTCTGCAGCCATTTTGGAATCTCTAGCTTCACTTTTATAGACCAACATGTTCTTTTTTTTTCTTTTTTTAAAATATATTTTATTGATTTTACTTGAGAGGAACAGAGAGCTAGAAACATCGATGAGAGAGAATCATCAATCAGCTGCCTCTTGCACACCCTCCATTGGGGATGTGCCTGCAACCAAGGTACATGCCCTTGACTGGAATCGAACCCGGGACCTTTCAGTCCGCAGGCCGACGCTCTATCCACTGAGCCAAACCGGTCCTGGCTCTTTTTTTTTTAATCTTTATTGTTCATATTATTACAAATGTTCCCCTTCCCCCTCATTGCTTTCCTCCACCAGGTTCCCACCCCACCCTCTGCCCTTTCCCCACTCCCCATTGTCCTCATCCATAGGTGCACAGTTTATGTTCAGTCTTTTCCCTCAGCCCCCTCTCCCCAAGAATCGTCAGTTCACTCCCCTTCCATACCTCTGATTCCATTATATTCAACAGTTAATATTGTTCATCAGATTTTTAAAAAAATTTCCTTGGTTTTTAGATTCACTTGTTGATAGTTACGTATTTGTTGTTCATAATTTTTATCTTTATTTACTTTCTCTTCCAAAAGAACCACCTTCAGCAATTCATATAATTCTGGTTTGGTGGTGATGAACTCCTTTAGCTTTTTTTTATTAGTGAAGCTCTTTATCTGGCCTTCGATTCTCAGTGATAGCTTTGCTGGGTAGATTATTTTGGGCTGTAGGTTCTTACTATTCATCACCTTGAATATTTCTTGCCATTCCCTTCTGGCCTGCATGGTTTCTGTTGAGAAATCAGCTGACAATCGTATAGGTGCTCCTTTATAGGTAACTACCTGCTTTTCTCTTGCTGCTTTTAATATTCTCTCTCTGTCTTTTGCTCTTGAAATTTTAATTATGATTTGTCTTGGTGTGGTCTTCTTTGGATTCCTTTTGTTTGGAATTCTGTGCGCTTCCTGGACTTGTAAGTCTAATTCTTTCACCAGGTGGGGGAAATTTTCTGTCACTATTTCTTTCAGTATGTTTTCCATATCTTGCTCTCTCTCATCTTCTGGGACCCCCATAATTCTGATGTTGGTTCGCTTGAAGTTGTCCCAGAGGTTTCTTACATTATCTTCAACTTTCTGGATTCTCTTGCCTTCTTGCTTCTGCAGAGGAGTGTCTTCTGGCTCTTTATGTTCCAAATCTTTGACTTGATTCTTGTGATCTTCCATTCTGTTTTTAGGACTCTGTATAATATTTTTTATTTCAGACAATGTATTCTTTATTTCTTGTTGATTCCTTATTACTTCTTGTTGATTCCTTATTAATTCTAGTTGATCCCTTTTTATATCCTCATAGGTCTTACTGACCTTTTCTAGGAAATTCTTGAAAAACCTTATAAGCATAGATTTGAACTCTATATCCAGTCGCTTTTTGTCCTCCATTTCTTTCGTTTGTGATCTATTTCCTTGTCTCGGCATTTTCACAGCTTTCCTGAGTTGGTAGCCTTAAAAGTCTCTGTGTTCTGCTTGGATGGGTCAGGGTTTCAGGGTGGAGCCTACAGCCTTGGCTTCTGTCAGCCCTGCCCTATGCAGCTCCTGAGTCTCAGTATTCCTCAGGGTCCTTCAGCACTCCTTGCAAGCACCTCTGAGAGAAAGGTGCCCTCAATTTTTGCCTGCTACCAAACAGTCTAGGCTCTCCTCCAATGAGCCCGGAACTGGGGTTCAGTTCAGTTGGAAGTGGGATTGGAAGTGGCACTCAGAGCAGTCCGGAGCTTTTGTCTCCTTCCCGCCAGGGCAATCCTGCCGCACAGCCAACCATCAGTTCTCTGTGCGCCTTCAGGACCTTCTTTAGCCGCTCCCCCATGTTTCCACCTTACAGCCCAGCTCCCTCTGTATGAGCCTGGGTCCCCAGGGTCTGGCCTAGAACTGGGATTCAGAGCAGTCGGAACTGGGGCTCAGCATAGTCCGGAGCTTTTGTCTCCTTCCCCCTAGGGCAATCTGGCAGCAGCGTCAATAGTCCGTCCTCTGCGCGCAATGTGCGCACCTCCGGGGGCTCTGCCTTTCACCGCTCCTCTGGTATTCCACCTCACAGCCCCGGCTCTCTCTGTATGAGCCTGGGTCCCCAGGGTCTGGCCTAAAACTGGGGTTCAGCGCTGTCGGATCTGGGGTTCAGCACAGTCCGGAGCTTTTATCTCCTTCCCGCTAGGGAACGCCAGCCAGGCACTCAGCCTCCCCCTCCTCTCTGGCTCTGTCCTCTCGGCGTGCGCAACGTGTCTCCATACCTTAGGCTTTTAGAGCTCCTCTGATTTTCCTTCTGGTTTTCTCTTTCCTTCTCGTTATAGAATTTCCAGTCAATCGACTTTCCTATAGTTCTGGGTAATGCCCATTTTATATTTTAGTTGTATTTTATTGAAATTGTTGTGTACGGCTACGGTTAGGTGTTTACCTGTGCAGCCGTCTTGGATTCTCTTGACCAACATGTTCTTAATTTCACAGTTAACTCTTGTTTGGAATTTCTTATTCTTGCACTCATTAGTTTTTTTTACCACCCCATAGCTATTTTAACCAGAAAATGTTTAGAGAGCAGAAAGGATACTTAATGTTATTGTATTCTAGAGGCCTGGTGCACAAATTTGTGCATGGATGGGGTCCCTTGGCCTGGCCAGTGATCAAAGCCTATCAGGGGGCTGGTCGGCCAGGGGAAGGGACCTTGGGGACTGGCTGGGGGAGGTTGGCCAGTGGGGTGGGGAGGGGCCATGGGAGGTTGGCTGTCTGGGGGGGAGGGAAGGAACGGGCTGCAGGAGGTTGGCTGGCCAGGGGGAGGGGCCACGGGAGGTTGGCTGTGGCAGTGCACTGACCACCAGGGGCAGCTCCTGCATTGAGCATCTGTCCCCTGGTGGTCAGTGCCCATCAGAATGACTGGTCAACCAGTGGTTCCAGTCATTCTGGTCGTTTGGTCATAACGGTTGCTTAGGCTTTTATATATATAGATTCTATCCCTCGATGAAAATAGCCTTATCATTTTTTTCAAATTTGAAAAGTTATACATGAACAGTAGCCAACTCAAACATAGAAAAATATGAAGAGGATATATAATCATTCCAAGTCTCACAATAAGAGATAATACCACTAACATTTGATCCATTTGTTTCTAGTTATCTCTTTGTGTTTCTTCTCTCTGTGATCACATACCAGAATCACATACACATATTTATTATATAGTATATCTGTTAACATAAAGGGACCATAGTATATGCTTTTCTTTACAGTCTCTTTTTACTTAACTAATGTATCATGGACATCTTTTCACATCAATATAGATCCACATACTTATTTGTAATAGCTGTATATAATGTAATTGCATGGATATTTAACCAGTCTTCTATTGATGGGCATTTAGGTTGTTCCTAATTCTTTGCAACTGAAATAGTGCTGTAATGAAGATTATTATAATGTACATTTGTCCTCAGGCTAAATTTCTAGAAATGGAATTGTTGAATCAGAATTTTCATGTTCAACATTCTGATTGCTATTTATTGTTAAATTGTTTTTCATAAAGGTTGTAAAATATGCAAAGTTCACAAATGTTAGGTTAGACTGTCTAATTATTCATGCTCCACCAATACTAGATATGGTTATTTTAAATAAATCTTTGCAATCTAATAGGTTTAAAAATTATAGGATTTTATTTTACTTGATGTCTAGTGAGATTGAATATCTATCATCTGTTTATTAGCTGTTTATTTATGTTTATTTGTCCATTTTTGATACATGATTTTATTTATTTTTTGTAGGAACAATTTGCTCTGTAATGGGCTTAGCCTGAAATCACTCGCTGAGACAGTTTTGAACTTTCCCCTTGACAAGTCCCTTGTACTTCGTTGCAGCAACTGGGATGCTGAAAACCTTACAGAGGACCAGGTACTTCTTATCTGAGCGCTTGAAGAATGGAAGCATAATTGTTGTTAAAGTTCTAATCCTCAAATAGAAGTATTGGGCAGAAGTGCCTTAAAATAGATTCCTGGTCTGATGATAAACAAGATAATTGGTCTAAAATAATTCTTAATGAAATTTTAGGAAATGCAAAAAATAATTTTTAATTTTGACATTGAAAAAAATGGATTGAGACCATAACACATATGGCCAGGGCTTTTGAACTAGTGGTTTTTTTTAGAAATCAATAACTATAGATAATAAAACATTAAATAATGCCGAAACCGGTTTGGTTCAGTGGATAGAGCGTCGGCTTGGGGACTGAGAGGTCCCGGGTTCAATTCCGGTCAAGGGCATGTACCTTGATTGCGGGCATATCCCCAGTAGGGGGTGTGCAAGAGGCAGCTGATCAATAATTCTCTCTCATCGATGTTTCTAACTCTATCTCTCTCCCTTCCTCTCTGTACAAAATCAATAAAATATATTACAAAAAACACCAAAAAAACATTAAATAATGTTATCAGTAATAGTTAAATGTCAGTAACTGTCTTTCCTCTCAGTCTACTCAGTTTCTCCATAGATGAATCTTCTAGTCTTCTGCTCAAGAGGTATAAGCCCACAGCCTGTATTCTGATGGCTGAGTGCTGCTAGTCTCACCATTCAGTGTGTAGATTTTCTCAGAATCCCTCTTTTTCAGTGACACTTTGCCTCCAACCTCCGCCATGCCTGGTTTTACTAGGTCCAGATCCTCTGTGATTTAGCTATTATATGATTAAACTTGTCAAAACCAAATTCTACACATTGAATAAAATAAGATTAGTTTACTTATTTATTTATTTTAATATATTTAATTGATTTTTTTACAGAGAGGAAGGGAGAGGGATAGAGAGAAACATCCATAAGAGAGAAACACGAATCAGCTGCCTCCTGCACACTCCCTACAAGGGATGTGCCCACAACCAAGGTACATGCCCTTGACCGGAATTGAACCTGGGATTCTTCAGTCTGAAAGCCAGCGCTCTATCACTGAACCAAACCAATTAGGGCAAGATGAATTTATTGTAAGGGTTTCAACTTGCAAGCCGAGAAATTCAAGGCTACCGGAGCAATGAGTTCGGAGTTGCTCACAGACCAGGGTAAATGCCGAAGTTATTTGGCTTTTTCAGCTTATTGGTTGTCTAGTGGTCTTCTTCCTTATTTGGATCCGGGTAGCTGAGACAGGAACAAGGAAGTCCAAAGATGGGATGAACAGACTTGGTGTTTGGGGATTGGTTGGCATCCTCTGCCAATTTCTGAGGAGAGTTATAAATTCCTGCAATTTATGTTAGGTGAAGTTTTGTTTTCTTTAATGTGTCTGCTTTGGCCTGCTCCATTTTGTCCCTGACATAAATGACTCTATTTTAGTTTTGGTTCTACAAACTTTCTCTCTTTTGGGTTAGAGAAGGAGTAATTGGCCCTGTGATATAGAGGTCTGGGGTTTAAGTGTGCTTTATGGAGACTTTCACCTTATCCTCCTGTTTTTACCCCTGTGTGTCTCCTTGCTTTCACAGACAACTGCTGCCTCTCATTCCTTGTGCTTTGCTGTTTTTTGAGGCTCAAATTAATTTGATTTTTAATTTTTGGTCTCTACCCCCTATTAGAGGTCTAGGTTTCAGCCTTCTTTTGGTGGCCACATCAGTTACCACTTGTTCATCCTTCCAAAATGTTGTTTATGGAGTTAGCAATAGCTAGTATCTTAAGGTTAACATTATCCTGTGAGAGAGATGTAGGAGTCAAATTATGTGAAATTGGTTTCTACAGCCATTTCTTATTTGCTGTGATCCTGAGTAAGTTACTTCTTTGTGCTTTGGTTTGTTCATTCATTCCTTCTTTGCTTCCTTCCTCTTAATAATTTTACTGAATTGTCTCTCTGCCTTTTGGCTAAGATCAAATATAATAGTTTTACTGAAATGTAATTCACACACAATAAAGTTCACCCATTAAAATGTACAAATAAATGGATTTTAGTATATTTGCAGAGTTATGCAACTATCACAATCTAATTTTAGAACATTTTCAGCTCCCCAAAAAGAAACACTGTACCCATTAGCAGCCATTCTCCCCTCCGCCCTCCTCCGACAGCTAGGTTTGGTGGAGTCGTTTGAAACACAAAGGTTTTTAAATTTGATGGGGTCAGTGTTTTATTTTTAAAAAATTATTCATGCTTTTGGCTTCATATCTAAGAAATCATTGCCTAACCCACAGTCATAAACATTTACTCCTCTGTTTTCTTCTAAAAGTCTTATGTTTTAGCTCTTACACTTAGGTTTATGATCCATTTTGAGATAATTTTTGTGTGTGTTATGAGGTAGAGGTTCAACTTCATTCTTTTGCATGTAGATATCCAGTTGTTCCAGCACCACTTGTTGCAAGTACCTTGTTTTTTTTGTTTTGTTTTGTTTTGTTTTTTGTTTGTTTTTTTAATATATTTTATTGATTTTTGTACAGAGAGAAAGGGAGAGAGAGAGAGAGTTAAAAACATCGATGAGAGAGAGTCATCGATCAGCTGCCTCTTGCACACCCCCTACTGGGGATATGCCCGCAACCAAGGCACATGCCCTTGACCGGAATCGAACCCGGGACCCTTCAGTCCCCAAGCCGACACTCTATCCATTGAGCCAAACCGATCTTGGCTTGTTTTGTTTTTTTATCACTTGAAAAATAATTTGTTAAAAAGCACTCAGAACTTTTCATTCAAGTATACTATTTTCCAATGGGAGACAGCTTGCTGATAGATATGTAGATTGTTGGGTCTAGGTGGAAATTTTATTAAGCATTTAAAAAATTAAAAAAATAGTTCCGTTTACCAGGCTTGTTTTTTGTGTGTGTATGCTTTTTAAATTTAATTTAAAAAAATATATATTTTATTGATTTTTTTTTACAGAGCGGAAGGGAGAGAGATAGAGAGCTAGAAACATTGATGAGAGGGAAACATTGACCAGCTGCCTCTTGCACTCCTTACCAGGAATGTGTCCGCAACCAACGTACATGCCCTTGACCGGAATCGAACCTGGGACCTTTCAATCCGCAGACCGATGCTCTACCACTGAGCCAAACCGGTTTCGGCTAAATTTAATTTTTAAAAAATTTCCCCCATCATCATTTATCCCCCTATACCCTCTTCCATCTTCACTCACCCTCTTCCCCACCGAAATCACCACATTATTGTTTATGCCCATGACAGAGTTGGTTATTATAGTGAATTAAAATAAGCCCAGCCAGTGAGGTTCAGTGGTTGAGCATCGACCTAGTAATAATTAATAAGCATAATATGAACCAGGAGGTCATGGTTCGATTCTGGTCAGGGCACATGCCCAGATTGTGGGCTCGATTTCCGGGGCTGGAGGGTGGGGGAGGAGGCATGCAGGAGGGATCGATGATTCCCTTTTATCATTGAAGTTTCTATCTCCCTCTCCCTTCCTCTCTGAAATCAGTGAAAATACATTTTAAAAAATAATAATCTTAAAGTCTTTATAGCCTTTTTGAGAAAAGCTATTAATTATACTGTTGACTGCTTTTATTTATCATCAGCTTGCTTATAACCAATTGCTTGGATAATGACTTCTCATTATAAATAAATAAATTCCACAAATGGGCTTTGTGATTTTTATTTTTATTTGTTTATTTTAATATATTTTATTGTTTTTTTACAGAGAGGAAGGGAGAGGGAGAGTTAGAAACGTCGATGAGAGAGAAACATCGACCAGCTGCCTCTTGCACACCCCCTACCGGAGATGTACCCACAAGCAATGTACATGCCCTTGACCGGAATCGAACCTGGGACCTTTCAGTCTGCAGACCGACGCTCTCCCACTGAGCCAAGTCAGTTTCGGCGGGCTTTGTGATTTTTAAAAATACATATTTTTATTGATTTCAGAGTGGAAGGGAGAGAGAGAGAGAGATTGAAACATGAATGATGAGAGAGAATCATTGATCGGCTGCCTCCTGCACACCCATACTGGGGATTAAGCCCACAATCTAGGCATGTGCTTTTGACCAGAATCGAACCCAGGATTCTTCAGTTCACAGGCCAACGCTCTAACCACTGAGCCAAACTATTGAGAGCAGTCACACAGGCCTCTTAATGAATGTTGGTCTAGGCTGTTCTAGATGATGACTATCCCCAAAGTGAAGTTCATGTACTAGTTGTAACTACTCTACCCCAGATTTGAAAAAAATCTGTCCAGTGCATTTGGTAACAGATACAATAAAATTATGTAAACAGAAGTAAACCTCACTGATTTATATAGATTAGGATTTTCAAGCATTTAAAGTAAGTAATTATTTTAACTATTTTAGTTAAAACATAGAGAACATGAGGATTCATTACACATTTGATTTGCTTTAAAATATATATATATATATTTAATATATTTTATTGATTTTCCACAGGGATAGAGAGCTAGAAGTGTCGTTGAGAGAGAAACATTGACCAACTGCCTCCTGCACACCCCCTACCGGGGATGTGCCCACAACCAGTGTACATGCCCTTGACCAGAATCGAACCTAGGACCTTTAAGTCTGCAGACGAACACACTATCCACTGAGCCAAACTGGTTTCGGCTGCTTTTGTATAGTTTTACATTTTTCAAAATAAAGTTGTTAAGAAGATGTCTAGGTTATCATACATCTTAAATTAGACCTGGAAGTTGTTTATATCTTTGTGATGCCTTTGAAGTTCTCTCTCTGGTTTGCCTTCTAGATTCCACTGATCTCTGATTTTTCTCTTCAGGTGATTTATGCTGCCAGGGATGCCCAGATTTCCGTGGCTCTCTTTCTCCATCTTCTTGGATACCCTTTCTCTAGGAATCCAGCTTTAAAAGAAAATTATGACCGCATTGGCTGGAGAAAAGTTTTGGAGAAATACCAGGATTTTGTAGACATCCCATTCCGAAGCAAAGGAATTAGCAGATTGGGAGAAGAGGTTAATGGGGAAGCAACAGAATCTCAGCAAAAACCAGGAAATAAGAAGTCTAAGGTTGATGTAACAGTGCCCGGCAACCAGCAAGGGAGAGACCCCAGAAAACATAAAAGAAAGCCCCTGGGGGTGGGCTATTCTGCCAGGTAATTGACTTGTTTCCTGTCTAGTAAAGTGTCAGAGGCCCAGCCTCCAGTAAAAGGCACATGAACAAAAAGCCCCTGGGGATGGGAGGAGGCGTGTGTGGTAAGGAAGCAATGGTTCTCCAGGGGTTATTCTTCCTTTCCTTCAAGGACATTTGGAGCTATCCTTTGATTTATTTGTGTACTTTCCTCCTTTTACTTTTTTAAAAAATCCTCATCTGAGGATATTTTCCCATTGATTGTTAGGGAGAGTGGTGGAGAGAGGGAAAGACAGAAAAACATCAATGTGAGAGAAACACATTGATTGGTTGCCTCCTGCATGTGCCTGACTAGGGCCTGGGCTGGGAAGGAGCCTGAAATTGAGGTACGTGCCCTTGACGGGAATGGAACCTGGGACCCTTTGGTCTGCAGGCTGATGCTCTATCCACTGAGCAAAACCAGCTAGGACTCCTCTTACTTCTTCATTGTTGAGCAGTTGGAGTGGTAATGAGGAAAGCTTAACTTAGCTTTGTCTCAGACCCTGATTTGACCTTAGACCTATACTTTCTCCAGTTATAAATGAAAGTATAATTAATCATTCCTGCTTGCTTCAGGATAGCTGTGAATAACATAAAGTGCCTCATACTTTTCAGGAGAAATGTGTCATCTGATTTCTTGTTCATTTAGTATTTGACTATTTAGAATGGCATCAGCTCTCAGCCAATGTTACGCCCCAGCCAAGGAGAATTTTCCTGCACAATTTATGCCCGCGTTGCAGAGAGATGACTAATAACCTCTGGTCCTGTAGCAAAGTTCCTTCAGGAACTGGATAATTAAATCGAAGCAAGTGTTGTGTTTGAGCCAGAAATAAACCCACGTGGCCCTCATTACTTTAACTTCAAGTTCTTTCATTTTAATTTACTTTGTTTATTCCAATGATTACTCCAAAGGGCAGTGCTCTGTTCCTGCTTGTTTCACAATAGAACTTAGTCCGTAATGTCCCAGTTCATACGTATTGAAACTAGAAGTATACGTTCTTCATTTTTATTTCTGTTTCCTAGTTCAGTGCAAATGGAGGAATTAATATGCTCTTTCCATGTTCAGTTTTGTTGTTGGCGGTGGTGTTGAGAATAGCCTAGCTCACTCAGAAGAGAACATGGGAAGATGACTGATGCCTTGACCAATAGTTAGCTTTCAGGTTTAGCCCTCTTTCTCCCTTCCCAGCAGAAAATCACCACTCTATGATAACTGCTTCCTCCATGCTCCTGATGGGCAGCCCCTGTGCACTTGTGACCGAAGAAAAGCTCAGTGGTACCTGGACAAAGGCATTGGAGGTTTGAGAGTCAACTGTCATATTTGATCTATAAATTAGGTGCATGTGGGCACTGGCAGGAGTGGGGAGTGGGAGGAGGGAGAGGGATGGATAGAAGTAGGCAGAGAGACCTTGAGTCACATGGGACAGGACTATTCAAGACCCAGAAATAGTGTTGTCTGCCAGGACAGCCAAGAACAGTTAAGGTGGTTTTTCTTCTCTGGGGCACAACTGAACAGGCAGATACTAACTAAGACTTCTTTTCTCCAAGAGCTGGTGAGTCAAGAGCCTTTTGTAGTCAGGCTACAGTTTGAACCTGCGGGAAGACCGGAATCCCCAGGAGACTACTACTTGATGGTTAAAGAGAACTTGTGTGTAGTGTGTGGCAAGAAAGACTCCTACATTCGGTGAGTGCCGGTTGCCTGCTTGTCTGCCTGCACTGAAATTGCCTTTGTAGCTGTATGCAGAGCCCTCAGGGGCCTTGCTGGAGTCTGCCCACTTGATCCTGAGGGTGCATCCCAGTTTCCCTGAGAGTTTTGCCACTCGGCCTGGCCTTGCTCTGGTGCCCCTACTCTTCCTGAGCCCAGTTCTTAGTTTCTGGAATGCAGAAAGAGAGTGGTCCCTTCTGCTCATCGAAGAATGGAGAACAGTTCCTTCAGAAGCTGCCTCTCTCTGTAGGTGGGCCGAGAGTGGAATAGGTAGTATTTTTATGTCATCTCTGTCGGGTTGTGGCACTCAAGGCTTCACAGTTTTGTTCAGGCCCAGATCAGAATCCTAGCGGCCCCTGTGCTAGCTACAGGTGTGTTCTCTGTCTCGTGCTAATGAGCACTGCCTTCTGGGTGGGCTTGTTCAGGAAGAACGTGATCCCACACGAGTACCGGAAGCACTTCCCCATTGAGATGAAGGACCACAACTCCCACGACGTCCTGCTGCTCTGCACCTCCTGCCATGCCATCTCCAACTACTACGACAACCACTTGAAGCAGCAGCTGGCCAAGGAGTTCCAGGCCCCCATTGGCTCTGAGGAGGGCTTGCGCCTCCTGGAGGATCCAGAGCGCCGGCAGATGCGCTCCGGGGCCAGGGCCCTGCTCAACGCCGAAAGCCTGCCTGCCCATCGAAAGGAGGAGCTGCTGAAACCTCTCAGAGAGTTTTATAGCACAGACACGGTCACAGAGGAGATGCTTCAAGAGGCTGCCAGCCTGGAGACCAGGTACAATGGACAGTTCTGGTCAGAGAAGGAGTGAGGATTAATCTGGGGGGCTGGGGGTGTGTGTGTGGGGGGGTGGTGGGGAGAAGGGCCATTAGTCATTTAGGTGCAGTGCATAATCTCATAATTATTCCAGTATCTAATGGTTTAAAATACCTCGGGGGTGAGATAGAACAATCTATTTGAGAATTTCCTTTCTATAGGAGACTTTCCTTCTTTCTATCTTAAAGTATATGACCCTCTAAGACTTAGAGTCTAAGTCATAATACTTATATCTAGTTTTCATGATTAGTGGGAAAGTTGAAATGCAGTAGAGTTGTGCTTTATATGTTTAGTGCAAAAGTAAATCCTCAAGTCAGCACATAAGATGAAAATAATAGTCAGGAAATGCCCTCAAATCACTGAAGTTGTCCATGAAACACAGCATGTGTGGTTTGTGTCTCACCTCATTCAGGTTTGTGGGGATTGTGACAATGGATTCATGTGTCCTGTTCCACCTGCACTCCAGGGTACTGACCCACTGATGGAAGCTGGCCAGAATCCCATTACTATTTTCTCCTTTTTCCTTCGTTCCTTATTTTCTCAGACCTCCTCCTCCATTAGTACACAGTTGAATTCATATGCCTTAAGTCAGTGTTCCTCAATGAGAAGTTTGTGGTCCTAAGAAATGAATATTTCCGTAATGCAGATGATAAAAATTCTGGGCCACCTGCTATAGTTCTGCTTCCCAACTCAATTTCTTCAGAAGTCCTAGGGGTTGAAATAATTGAACTGTTAAGTTCACAAAACTCTGTTAGTGATGCTGGTTGCCTATAATATTTTTGTTATAAATAACCCCAAAATACTTTAACTGTAGCAGCAAATATTTATAAAATATTTATAGATATATTTATCTAGCAGGCTACTAACCTTTACAGAAGTTGCTTTATTTCTTTTAGCAGACCCTATGAGGTATAATTTAGGCTTCTTACTGTTAACTAACATTGTATCTTACTTTAAAAAAAGAAAATCATAGTTTAAAAAAATTATTACTGAATTTTATCCTCATTGAGGTTATAGAATACATTTTGTTTTCCAACTTTCATATTGCCGTAGATACCCTGAGGTTAAAATTAAGTAACCTGCCAAGGTCATATTAGAAATTAATGACACTGGCTCCTTTAACCACTCCCCAAATGTGTTTCCTGAAGCAACCAAACTTCCCCTTCCACCCACAGACCTTTCTAGTATTTATCTTGCTAGGACCAAGAAAAACAGCTGTTTTGGAAAAGATAGACAAGTTAGTGGGGATGCTCAGCAGCTAACTAGTAAAACGTCCAGAAATACTCAGAAGGCACTGATGCTGCTAGACTGGCGGGGTCTTGGGAGGAGGATGAGAGGGGCGTGGGTGCAGGGAGAGGAGCTGTGTTTGCCGGGCAGGGGGCTCCTGAGAAAGGAGAGCTTTATTCAGAGGAGGTGAAAGCACTGTTCTCCCGGCTTCAGAGCAGGTTTTAAGGCCCCTCAGCATAGCTGGGAAGGAAGCAGGGGTTTGTTTTCCTGTTAAACAGCACCAGCTGCACAGCGAGCCACCGCAGCCTTTCATTGTGACTACAGCGCTTCTCAGGCTGTGATCTTGTCATGGGTGTGACACTTCTCAGGATGTGATCATTCTTCTGGATCTGATTTAGCATTCCTTTTGTGAGGAGGGAGGTCCTAAAGAAAGGCCCCCCCCCCCTCCCTTGAATTTTACACTCAGGTATTGCACTGTTATGAGAAACTGGAACACAGGTTAACAGCCTGGTTGAACAGCCTCGTGTAAATACTGGGCATGGTTCAGGATGAATAACTTGAAAGAGGCGTGAGCTGGTAACTGAGCATCCTGGAGTAAATACAGGGCTAGCCCTCTTCACCCTCATAGGCCAGACAGGAGAGTCCTCTAAAGGGGACTGACCACGATGCAGTGGCTTCCCCACAAGGTCAGCTCTGAGTCCCCAAATGCCCTCTGTTGAATTGTGGGCAACATGCCCAAACTTAAAAAAAAAAGAAGAAGAAGAAGAAGAAGAAGCAGCAGCAGCAGCAGCAGCATATAAGAGAAAGAGGATGCTTTGGAGACATTAATGTAGCCCGCCCGCTAGTCTAGCAGCCTCCCTCATACTCTGTGAGCCCCGTGGCCCGCAGCATGTGGAGCATCTGTGAGACCGTCCTGTGCCCATTTCCCTCCGACCTTTGTATAATACTTTGTATCTTGGCAGGATTTCCAATGAAAACTACATTCCTCATGGGCTGAAGGTGGTGCGGTGCCACGGCCGGGGCGGGCTGCGCTCCCTCATGAAGCTGGAGAGCCGCTGGCGCCAGCACTTCCTGGACTCCATGCAGCCCAAGCACCTGCCCCAGCAGTGGTCCGTGGACCACAACCACCAGAAGCTGCTCCGGAAATACGGGGAGGACCTTCCCATCAAGCTGTCGTGAGGACCGCTGGGAAGCTGCAGCCAAGGTGGAGCCGTCACCTCTTCCCGTTTTCATACGTTGTTAATTGTCAAAGCCTGTGACACAACTCAGAATACTAACCCATACTGATCCCAGGATGCTTCTGGTGGATGGAGCATGGCTCTTGTTTTAAGGGGAGCTTATGGTTTTGAATTTTAGTTGGGCAGAATGAAAATTCTCTTTTTTCTCCATTTTATTTTATTTTTTGTGGATAAGGAGGGTCTTGAATTTATTTTACTCTTTCTCTTCTGCTTTCCCTGGGCAGATGGCAAATGAAAGATTCTCCCTGAAGTGACTTGTCAGGACTCTCAGGTTTTTTTTAATACATTTCTCCCTGTTCAGTACATTGATTTATCTCAAATGGGCTGTCAGTATTTCAATACCGTCAGGCTAGGAGGGGAGAAAAAGTTCTAGGGAATTGAGAGACAATCAAGGGTTCAGATTAATTTTCCCAGTTCAGCCTCATAACGATAAATTCTTTGGCCCATTGCTGTCCCACAATGCACCTGTTTGGGATCCATTCTCAACGGAATCACTTCAGTTTATTTCACACACTTGAGCTTACTTCCCTCGACATGTCAAAGACCAAAGCGGCACATCCTTTCTTTGCTTCCACACTAGCACTAGAGGAATCATTTTCTTGAGACAGGCCTTCCACCTGGGGGGGGGGGGGGGGGCGGGGGAGCCTCAGCACCATCTCCCCAGAGAGCTTCGATAAGTTGCTGTGCTTTTCCTCTTATGCTGTTCATTGTCTGCTGGTTGCCATCCTCCTGCCCATAACTGCGAGGCTTTTAGCTTAATCCCTTTCTGGGAGGAAGATTATCTTTTCTCAGAATCAGCATCAGGTCCCTGCAGAGTTCTGTTTCCATCAATTTGCAATACTGACCTCTTTCCAGCACTTAATCCTCTCCTGGAGTCTGGTTGCAGTGAGGATCTCTCCACCTTCCCCCATACCTGGAACACTGCGATTTCTTATGTGTTTAGATGTTAAAACAGTGGGGTGTTTTTTCTTTCAAAATGTGAGGTCGCCACTTTACACATGAAATGTGCCCAAGTTGGTGATGGTTGCTCTAACATTGATAAATAAAACTTCTAAGCACAAAACTTACTGACTGTAACTGTAAAAAATTGTTTCTTCATAACTTTATAAAGTTGGTTGGTAAATATTCTTGGGGGAAGAGATAGTTGTCCATGCAGCAGTACCATCATATGTGAGCATGAATGGACACACACACACACACACACACACACACACACACACACCCAGTGCAGCTTTGGCAGGTCAACAGCAACCCACAAACACACGTGCACATCCTGCATGTTGTTCCTCTGCCCCTTCATTCCACCTTTTCCTCAAAAAGTCATCTCTGGGGTCTAAACTAGAAATCCTTGAAAATGAATAGTACCATGCACTGTGGGGACCATATGTTCAATGCTGTAGGTTATTAGGGGCCTGTGTCTCTGCCCATACTGTTTGGAGCCTATGGAGACTGACAGGTGGTCATGTAGTAGTCAGACTTGCCACAAGGTGGCACTCAAAGATTTTGTTTTACATCCTTCTTGAGCCAAGACTTTTATACATTGTTCCTGAACACAACCCTTGATTTATGTTTCAAAATTTACGGACCTTAGCCCTAGCCGGTTTGGCTCAGGGGATAGAACATTGACCTGTGGACCAAAGAGTCCTGGATTCGATTCCAGTCATGGGCATATGCTCAGATTGTGGGCTTAATTCCCAGTAGAGGTCGTGCAGGAGGCAGACCATCAATGATTTTCTCTCATCATTGATTTTTCTCTCTCTCCCTCTCCTTTCCTCTCTGAAATCAATAAAAGTATATATTTTTAAATGTGTGTTCCTTATTTGGGGTCATTTTGATAGCTTTTTAAGAAAAACTTCTTCTGAAACAGGGATTAAGACTCTTTCGTTCTCTTCCCATGTGATCCTCATGCTAAGAGTTAAAAGACTTGTACAAGATCAATTAAGGTGCAGTGGTTGCTGTGAGAAGGAGGATTGGGCTCCCCAGCAGACCTTCCTGCAAAGCCATGGTGGCTAGACTAGGACAAAAGGTGTCGCATCCTTTTCAGAAGTTACTTGTATAGATTTGAGTCTTTTGTTCACTGAGTCAACGTTGAACTTTATTTGTAAAGATTTTTTAGAGAGAGAGAGAGGAAAGGAAAGAGAGAGAAACATCGATCGGCTGCCTCCTGCACAACCCCCACCAGGTAACAAGCCCATAACCCAGGCACGTACCCTGACTGGGAATTGAACCTACGACCCTCTGTCCACAGGAAGATGCCCAACCAGCTGAGCCACACTGGCCAGGGCTCATCAGCCTTGGGCTTTAGCAGCCTTTCCCTAAGGCTGACAATTGCTATTTTAAATAAGATATTTTAGAGTAGGCATACTAGAAATACTTAGTTTTTTTCTGATACAAAAGTAATATATGTTTATTATAGATGAGTCTAAAAAAAGAATAAAAATCATTCATCTTGCCTCCATCTAGAACAAGCTAACCTTGGCTGATATATTTATGAATTTCCTTTTGGTGTATAAAAATGCATGTAATATATGTATTTAAACCAAGTTGAGAGTCATACATATATACAGCTGGGTATCCTATATCCCCCCTCACTTAACATGGTATCACAAGTAAGTAATTTCCTGTGTCAGTATTGAAAAGTAGATCTCTAGTGGATCTACCTTACTTTAGTTATCCATCCCCATACTTGAAAATTTTGGTTGTTTCAGGTTCTTTGTTAATATCGGTGATGCTGTGGTGAACTTTCTTAATGTGTACATCTTTGCCCGTGTCTTTAATATATAATTCCATTAGAATAGAACCCTCGAGATTGGATCGGGAGGAGGGGCCTCACATTGCTGGTGTGAGTACAAGTTGAAAGCATCTCTAGGGATGTGGGTTAGGGACGGCTTCTCGTTGACCCTGTGGCTCATGTTCCAGTGCATTTGCCGAGCTTCTCTGTGAGTAGCAGCGAGAGGACAGTTCCCAGCAAGGGCCTCTCTGAGTGTTCCGGTCAGGGCCTTTTCTCTGTGTCCCTCTGTGTCCCGCTCTCCATCGCCTCGTTTGCCCCTTGCAGCCAAAGTGTTTTGGAAAAACTGCTTGTTTGAAAATTAAAATGAACGTTTTTATTTTAAAATAAAAACTATAGATTTTTTTTTCCTAGATAAGCAATTGGTGATTTACTATCTGAAAGAGAACAAAGCACAATATTCAGGGATTTGTTGCTTCTTTAAGAGTGCAGCCATAAGTTACTTATTCTTACCCCTGTCACGGACGGAGATCAGATGACAAAATGTGTTCTGTAGAAATAAAGCCATTTTAATCCCTCATTTTAGCTGCTTAGGAACCCAGCAGGCAGAGGAGCTTTTTGTTCAGCTTCCTGTCTGCCTGTGAGTTCAGGGCTCTCACATTTGACTGTAATTTAAATTCTTAGTTTACCTTGCCCCTTTGAGATTTTTACTCATTCATTTACCCTTTCTTCCTTTAATTTTTTTTCCATTTTGTCTCATCCTCATGAGAGATACCACTTTTTATTTCTAAAGGAGATAGTTTCTCAGTTTGCTATTCACTAATTATTATATATTTTTAAAGGATTCCTCTTTCTGATCTTTTGTCTCTTCTGTTGTGTAGATTGTCATTTTTAGCATACCCAATCCCTTAGGAAAACAATGAGAACCAGTTTTTTGTTTTTTGTTTTCATGAGAAGGTATAAGAATGATTCTTGTTTTGATTAACTCTTGATCTGAATAACATAAAAAAATACATAATCCCCCAAACATTTTTCGTTTAGAACTCAGTTATAATTTTCAGGTTTGCACCAATCTTGCCTCCTCATGCTGGAGCCTAATACCTTCATCCTGGACCAGTTTTGCATCAGGTGATGGAACAGGGCTGACATGCCAGCAGCCCACTTGTTCAGAAGTACCCGCCCCACCAGCCTACTGTACATGCGTTAATCACTCTTCTTTTCTTTTTGCTTGAGGCACCAAGGCCCTTTTTGGGAATTCCAATACATTTTTTGGGAAGGTGGGAAGTATTGATACATCAGACTGTTGTTTTCTACTCATCAGCTCTGACTGCAGACAGCCCATTGGAGGTCCCTGGACACTGTGGGTGGCAGGAACAAATGGGTATCGCTGAGGGGAAATCAAGAACTGACTTCATTTGCACACAGGGAATGTCAAGGACCTGGTTCACGCGTCCTGGTTTGTCCCTCTTCTAACATGACTGCCTTGAAGATCATTCTCTTGAATGGAGTGGTTAATCTCACACCCTCCAGACTGAAAGCATTGTCCTCCTTCCTTATTTGTTATTCATTCTTATATTTCTCTCTCTTGCTAAATGGGTAGCCCGTTGCCTTTCTGCCAGCGTAAACTTCAAAATGCTGCTGAGTTTGGAGTCGGCATTATTATAAGCATGACGCGTGGCCCCCAATATTCCTGAGCTGAAGAGGCTACTTATATTCTGCTCCTGCTTTGCAAAGATCTCCCTTCTCAGCTGCCACATGCTGGGCACAGTTGGGCTCCTGATTACTCAGGCTGTCAGGGTCTCCATGAAATCCTGGGCAGGAATCAGAAATTTGAGCTTAGTGAGCTAATGGACTGGAAAGAAATGAGATTGAGACGTTGGTTGTTTTAAAAGAGGTACATTTATTTGGTGGTGGTGATGGAAATACAGTTCATAGGCTTTATATTTTGCTCTTTTTTAAACTCAGTTCTGTCACGAGGTGGAGGATCAGAGGGCTGAGCTGGTGACCTGGGTTCTGGGTCCGGCCATGACTTGGTATCTTTGGACCAATCTTGTAACTTTTCTGGGCTCCTTTACTTACCATTAAAATGAGGAGTTGGAATTAGGTGTGCTATTAGGGCCTTCTTAGCTGTAGCATTCTGTAGTTCATCCCACTGCTTCTGTATGTGGCGCTTTCCCGGGGGTGATAGAGTCTTTTGCCTCGCTTCACACTCTCCTCCCGCCCCCAGCCCTGGGAATGGACACTGTGCATGGAAAGGAGGGGTGGGAGGGAAGCAGGGTGCCACACCATGTCCTCCTGGCCTCCCTGACTGGGGAGTGCCTGCTGCCTCCATCTGGCACTCCCCCTAGGATCAAAATGCTCTTCTCACCAAGCTGTGCTGTGTGTGTGTGTGTGGCCTTAGGGAATTGCATTTCTACTCAGCTCACTATTTAACAGTAAAGGAAGAAGAGAAATCTTTATCTTCAGCCACCGTACTAGTGCTATAAGGTTTAATAAGAGATAAATGCAGGATGGAAATGAGGCAAGCTTTCCAAGTATTCTAGCTGGGAGGATATTGAGAAAAAAGAGTTGACTGCTTTGTCTTAGCCTGTTTGGCTCAGTGGATAGAACATCGGCCTGCAGACTGAAGTGTTCCAAGTTTGATTCTGGTCAAGGGCATTGGTTTTGGGCACATCCCCAGTAGGGAGTGTGTAGGAGGCAGCTGATGGATGTTTCTGATGTTTCTCTCTCATTGATGTTCCTAACTCTCTATCCCTCTCCCTTCCTCTCTGTAAAAAAAATTCAAAATCAATTTAAAATCAATAATATATATATATATATATATATATTTTTTTTTTTATTTTTTTTTTTTTAAGAAGAGTGACTGCTTTCCATTTTAAGGATAGGAGAAATTAAATCTATACTGTATACAGAGAATTGAGTAGAATTGGAGACTTTAAAGGGAAAGTAGTAAACCAGTAAGTTAAAAATATTCTCTCTCTCTTTTTTTTTTTTTTTTTTTTTTTGCCGAAACCGGTTTGGCTCAATGGATAGAGCGTCGGCTTGGGGACTGAAGGGACCCGGGTTCGATTCCGGTCAAGGGCATGTACCTTGGTTGCGGGCATATCCCCAGTAGGGGGTGTGCAAGAGGCAGCTGTTTAATGACTCTCTCTCATCGATGTTTCTAACTATCTCTCTCCCTTCCTCTCCGTACAAAATCAATAAAATATATTTTAAAAAAATATTCTCTTTTTTTAATGTCATGATTACCTAAGAAAATTTGAGAGGCCAACATTGTTAACACATTGTTATCCACCATGAATTCCAAGACATGAACTCACAGGGCAGCTGGGAGGCGTCTGGGACCTGCATTTTGTATAACCCTGATTCGCCTTGGACATGTCTTGCTGACCTCTGCCAGGCTAGACAGTCATGTGCAAACTATAAAGTTTGCATTTTATAAGCTGCTGAAAGGCATTCCCCTCTGTGTCCATTCCCTGCGTCCTGGCAGAAAAGACACTTCCAGTCCATCCTTGGGCTTATTTTCTATCCCACGGGGGGTGTGGTGTGATGTCTGACAAGTATGCTAAACGCGAAGCTCTTATTACAGTAAGCACCTACACATCCAGAGCCCCATCTCCTACCAGGTTGGTTGTTATTCCAGAAAATGACCAGAGAGCCTAAAGGGAAGCTCAAGTGTTTTTCTCTACCCTCTCCTAGAGGGACCCTAACTTTATCCAAAACCCAGACATCTTCCGTTACACCCCAGAGGGCCAACTGGAGTCCCAGTCAGTTGGCTTCGTTTCTTTTTAATCAAGATCTGTCTGTCTGGCCCGGGAGGATGGGCCGGCCTGTGCTGCAGCCCATATGGTTTCCTCGGAGTTCTTGGATATGACGAGCAGGGCTAACGTTGGCTCAGAACAGGAAGAGAAGATGACTCCGGGTTAGTTTTTCTTTTTTAAATGTTATACAAGTGCAGAGCAGTTGGCTGCCATCCCCTCTCAACCATCAGCAGAGCTTGACCTTGGCCAAGATTTTGCCTCATCCTCTCGGCATGTCAGCATGAAGTTGCGTTTCAGCCATGGAATGCTTAACCGAAAGCACATGCTGTAGTGGCGCTTTCCAAAGAGCGAGTTTTTGCAAAAAGTCCTCATCGTGTTGTTTTCCCAAAACAACAGCTTTCTGTGAACCACCAACCCAGTAACCCCCCAAATTCTTTGCCTTGTTTGTACACAAAGGCTGAGATTGTTGTTAATAATACTTTATTGGATGGTAGTATAGTGAACATACAGTAAAGTGTACAAATCCTAAGATTACAGCTTGGTGAAATTTTGACAAATGTATATATTCATGTAACCATTAAGGCTGGTTTTTTTTTTTTTTTATGTGAAATGTTTGTCCTGATGGTGTAGAGCACATGTGTCAAACACAAGGCCCGCGGGCCAAGTCCATCCCGCCAGGCCTTGCAATGTGGCCCGCACCGCGCTGTCATCACTGCACTCCGCTGCGTTTCCATCACAATGACAGTTTATGACTGTTCAGTAAACCATTCGGCCCGCGATTTAGGCTGGATTTTAGATTTTGGCCACTTCTCTGATTGAGTTCGACACCCCTAGTGTAGAGCTTGGAATTAGAAAGTTGTACATTCATCTAGCTGAGCAAGTTACTATAAGGTCAAAATATGATGAAGATCTGATGGTCCGAGTGCAGGCAGTTTGCCATTACTAGGGGACTTGGTTACTGCAAAACTCCATGATGTTTGTTTTTAGCAAGTTACTTAAAAAAAAAAAAAATAGGTAACATATGCACCTAGCACAAAACTTTTAAAAACATGTAGCAGGGCACTAACTGGTTTTGCTCAGTGGATAGAGCATTGCCTGTGGGTCCCAGGTTTGATTCTGATCAGGGGCACGTGCCCAGGTTGTGGACTCAGTCCCCAGTAGGGGGCATGCAGGAGGTAGCTGATCAATGATTCTCATCATTGATGTTTCTATATCTCCCTCTCCCTTCCTCTTGGAAATCAATACAAAGATAGTAAAAAAACAAAAACACATAGCAGGAAAAGGGAATCTCCTTGCTAGTCCTTTCAGTCCTTAAAGACAGCCACTGTTATTATTACTGGTACATGGTCTCTCCTTCAGAGACAGAGAGAGATGGGGGGGGGGGGAGAGAGAGAGAGAGAGAGAGAGAGAGAGAGAGAGAGAGAGAGAGAGACAGAGAGAGAGAGAGAGGGGGGGAGGGAGAGAGAGAGAGAGAGAGAGAGGAAGAGAGAGAGAGAGAGATACTATTTTGTTTATAAAGTCCCAGGTTTCTTCTGTGCTTGTTAACCAGCACTAATATTTCTCTGTCCTTTCCTTCGTGCTCTAGGCCCTAGTCTGGGACATTCATGC